CATGTACACTTACCCCTTACCCCTTTAATTTACAGTACTGTGGAACAGTGACAATTGAAAGGCTTCTGTTGTAAAGGATGTAATGAAATAAATCCTTCGTGTCACTTGGCTTTCATTCTCTTCTTTTTACAAGAGACTGACATAAATGCGGCTTCGTTTTATCTTACTAATAAAAATAAAATAATTTTTTTTACTTCAAGCCGTCTTATTCACCAAAAAAAGATTTATTTTCTAAATTGGTTGTAAAAATGCGTGTTGTCACACAGACTCGTCTATTACTATTGTACGAGAAGCTTTCGAAAGATTCATCACGTGTAAATATTCTCGAAGACTTCTCGAGATACTAGTAGTAAGTATATCGCGAGCCTGACAGTGTTCGACATAGAGCAATGGGAACGAGAAAGACGGAGAGATAGTTCTTTTGGGGAGGTATTTCCAGGCTCCTTTAAAGGTGGGGATATTCAGCCATAAATAACTATAAACAGGGACCTCTGTAAGTCAGGTAAACTCGATTCTCGCACGGAAACTATCCGTATAAGTCTATACAGTTAGTTGATTGTGTATAAGAGTCTCTCTCCTCCCCCTCTGTCCCTCTATTTCGATTCGGCGGACTGTTTGGATGCTGGTGGTTTTTCAGAGTCACGCCCTGGAAGGGGACCGCGGGTCGCGAGGATGTTTGGGAAAATGGATCGCTTACAGGTGCGGCGTATTTAATCCGGAGACATCTTCATAATCTGTTAACCCCCATGGAAAATAACACAGCGAGTCCGCTGAAGGAAAGCCCTGCCGCAGCTGCCGAATCAATTCGTCTTCCCGTGCGTACATGCGTATAGAGGACATTCGTACAGAACAAATGCATTGTTGGTAACAAAATAATTTAAGAATTTTGGAATGGCTCTAAAAAATCGATGATTTTGAAGAATTTATGCCATATGTAAGAATAATCAACAAACAATAATTCCTCGTCGCGACCATCTCGCGATCGAAATCGATTTTGCGTTTAAAAGGAGAAGATGGAACTTTGTAATAAAACTATAATTTCATCTCGCGGTGAAAAACTCTGAGACTGCTCTTACCCGATAACAGGACGCGAATGGATGAAACACTTATGGGTGGATTTTATCTGAAACGAGTGTATATCCGATACGGAGATGTTGAAATAGTTTTCATGTACCCACAGTGGGGCGCACTCGGGGCCACGCTTTGTCGAAGGTACGGTCAGTCGTTCAAGCAAAAGTGATTTTCTATGGCGCGCCATATCGATAACATCACGTTAATGCCATTCACTTGTTTGCCTCGAGAACCGATGCCTCTTTCTGGGGGTTATTATTGCCAAACGATTCGCAGCATTCGCGCTAACACGAGAAGAAAAAAAGATCGGTGTGACGTAATTTAATATGACTAATACTTGCTGTAGATGAATACGAACACCGTTGGATTCATATTCGGAGAATTGGAGATTTAACGATTGACCTTTTCATGTATATACGACGACACGATATACATGATTATACGAGAATAAATAAAAAAACAAGGAAATTATTTCTTTATTCAAAAAGTACAAAAGCTATCAATAATATCTTTACATTACTTTTCATTCGTAATCTCTGTGCAACACTCGTAACACACTGTTCAGCATTCTATGAGTTTTCTTATATTCTGAGAAAAAATAATCTTGATTGATTGCGCGCGAAAAAAAATACATCACTTCTTTTATTTCGTTATTACTTCATTAAACTATTTTTATCCATTATATACTTTTCTTTATGTTACATAGTTATTCCTATTTTTCTATAAATTTCAATTATGATTTCACATTTTCTATTCGTATAGAAATCTTACCACAGCATGCTGCTCAACACTGCTGCACACAGCGAGTGGTAGCTTACTCTTTGAAAGTAAGCAAAACACTGCAGGTTTATTACTGCAGATAGGGATAGACACACGAGGCTTCCTTAGATTTGCAGTTGATCTAATTTCGCTTTTGCTCAAATATTTTGAATAAAATAATAATTGCTCTTAATTTTGTATTTACCCTCGTATAATATAAATATAAAGATAACTAATTTTGTGTTAACAAAATTGATTAATAAATATATATTTACTATCCACTGAGAGTTTAATAAAATATTATAGATGGTACATTGAAGAAGAAATGAAATGTAACATATAACGTTCGCTGTTGCCAATAAAACACAAGCTAAAAAAGTTAAATAGCTAAATAAATGAGTAATATAAGATGACATGTCTTAAAAAATGTTTTAAGCAGATTTCCTATATTTAATTGCAGAAATTAAAATTCGAAAAAGATTTATAATATAAAATTGTCTCTTATTTTTCCATAAAATAATTAAATAAATTTTTTTCGAAAAATAAAGGTACAAAAAAAAGGTTCACTATACAGTTATTAAGCTTCAAATTTAAATAATTTAAATTCGGAACTAATGGCAGTAATATACAGATGTTTCTGCAAATGTTAAATATGTGAAAAGATCTGATGATTCCAAAAATAATGACAAGTGATTGTTAAAGAGACCGTCAAAGAATTGTTATCCTTCGAATAGTCGGCACGTCAAAAAAAATAAAATAAAAAAACCGGCATATTCCCAAGGAACATTCGACATTCAAGCAGAAATATTTCTGCTTAAAAAATGTCCTGGGTTTTAGTATTTATTTGTCACTTTCGAATCGACGAAACACATTGAGTTTCGTGGTGGTCTCTCTTGTTCTTTCCTAGAACTTACAAAAAGGGCATCATTTTGCTTGAAAATCGATTCGTTTGTTCGGCGGACGTAAGTTTGAAGTTGAAGGCGATCGGCATTTCCGAGAGTTGCCGGCTTTTCCTATCTGATTTTTCTGAAATTGATGGCGGCACTTTATTCAGAGCGCGACATTGGTTATAACGGGTTCCCCGTTATACCTAATGGCCTTGACAAATTTGTTTGGGTCGTGTTTGTCACGCCTTTTCATATAGACTTCCGATATAAAACTACCTTTTGCACACGGGCATAACGATTTCATAAAAAGAAATATTAATCTATTTTGTTCACTTCACTAATCTATTCTGTTATTTTTGTTTATTCAAAATTATTCTTTTTTATTTTATTTAAAAAAATTGATGAGAAAGATATACGTTGGATTATTTGATTTTTAATCGAAGGTACTGTATATCGAAGTATCTGTGCGCGAGGATATTCACTATCTTAATACCTCATTAGATCTGTTATTTTTTTGAAATTTTTTGGTAAAGTTACTTTTATTCGTGTTGCAATCACAATATATCTTGCTACAAGATATTTGTAGCTATATTTGAAATAGTTTTTAAAATATTGAGATTGTATAAAAAGATTTAGAACGAAACACATATTTGATATTTTCCATATTGAACTTTTAAACTGAGAACGAGTATATAAGTAACAAACAAAACAATCAGTAAAAAGCTAATAAACTTAAAAAAAAATTTAGGAGAAGCATCGATATAATTTATATATAAATTACACATTTAAAACATTTGATAATACAATCAATCTTTTCGTATATGTCCAAATGTATGCATATGTCTGCACTTGCACTGTTTCATAGCACGGAGACAAACACGAGAGCTCGCAAGCAGAATTATGCATATAAACGCAATTGGTGCTCACGGTTAAATAATGTTGCAATATACCGACAATTTCGATAATTAACATGAAGTTATTCCAACGTAAAGGCCACGCTGTCTGCACTCTTCTCTCAATTAGCGAATACTTTTACGGCGCGTGCATGTATTTCCGAGAACTCGCTGCATCGTACGTGCGCGATCTCTCCTTTTTCTTTTCCTCTTCTTTCATTACGAGACGATGAAACCCGTCAAAGTGACCATTTCGTGGACCTCGAAGAGGACTGCAGTAAAACGCATTTTTTTCGAAAGATTTCGACTCCCCGCGCTTTTCTTCAGTTTTATTTTACGCTCATAAACATCTCGGACTGATTTACTATTAGATCTCACCGGACTACGTAATCGCCTATAAAAAATTTATTTAATGCTCTTTCGTTTCGTTTCAACAGTGACTATTTATCTAAACACCCATTCCGGACTGGGCGCTAAAGATTAAAATGACACTGCAATTATAAATCAAAAGATATAGAAGTTTATATATGCATAATATTCCGTGACTATTCTGGTCAAATTTTTTGACGTGCCTATTAGCTAATATGGCTCGGATTCTCATTTTGAAAATCCGAGAGTGTTCTCTTGCAGGTTCTTCAAATGGCAATGTCTAAGAAACGAATGACGTCGCGCTCATGTTTCCACCATGTGCCTGCCATGCGTGCGGACAATAGAAGAATGATTTTTCAGTAACGCAAATAACATCACGTTTTACGAACGGTTTCAACAGAAGCTGTTTGTATTTTTAGCTAAAGTTGAAAATCATAGAACACTCCGTTATAAGATTTGACAATTCTAACAGTACCTAACAGTTCTTCTTAAAATGTTTTCAACTTTTATTTTTTAATCTTTAAAACCTACACGGTCCATATATGGACCTCGCATATAGACCTTTAATCGCGTGTAAAGCTAATTGTAAGTATAATCAACCAAATCTTAAAAAATTATGAAATAGAGGATAGAAAAACTGAAGAATATAATAGAAATAGAAAAATTGTCAATAATTAATATTAAATTGTCCAAAAACATCAATTTTTGAAAAGCCTCAAGTGGTTGAGACTCTTCAACCTTGAGGTGTAGCCTTTAAAAGTTAAACTAATATACTCTAAGTTATGCTTTCTATTTAATCTTATATGAATCTTATATACTAAACATTATTCGAATTGCAAGACCTACGTCGAATTCTTCAGATTACATCGGCCTAAAGTACAACAATTTTTTTTAATTATAAAGTTTAATTATTTTGCAAGTTTTATTGTTCCTCATTTATTCACATAATGTTATTGATCATAAATTATTGTACACACTGATCTTAAAAAAAATAACATTATATAAGAAGAGGATCACTCACCAAGAATCGTTACTTGCCGAGTTTTGCGCGATGTCCTTCCAATCTCTGTAAAACAGGAAACATTACATTATGTAGGCTCCAATAGCTCCAAAAAAAATCAACAGATTGTTAAAATTTACAAGATCTATATTCCAATTAACACAAAAATATAACTTCGGCTTTTGTTAATACAATAAACTTAAGAAAAGTGTTTCTCTCCGCATCTTGCGATAA